CGGTTGCAGAAATACAAGGCTCCATCCTCTCGGATTCTCCAATCCTCGAGTTGCTCTCCATTCTGGATTCGAATCCAGATTCCTTGGAGGTGTGGATCCTGCAATTGATTCTACTTAACCCGTTGCACAATATCCGGTGTAGAGTCCAGATTATACACCATAGCCTGGTTATAATCTTCGTAGAACTGAAGATTATACTCACTCGCCACTTCAGTCCTTTTCCAATCTTTCAAAGCTACTGACGCCAGAGTCCCCGTCGTCTTCCTGCTAAGGGCGTCAGCCACCACATTAGATTTTCCAGGATGATATTGCAGAGTGAAGTCGTAATCTTCCATATACTCCACCCATCTCCTTTGCCTGAGATTCAAGTCTTTCTGAGTAAACAAGTACTTCAGACTTTTATGGTTAGAAAAGACTTGACACTTTGCTCCATAGAGATAACATCTCCATATCTTCAGAGTAAATATTACCGCTGCCAGCTCCAAATCATGAGTGGGGTAATTTCGTTCATATGGTCTTAATTGGCGAGATGCGTATGCTATCACGCGTCTCCCTTGCATTAAGACACAGCCAAGCCCACTCCCCGAGGCGCCAGAATACACCTCATATAGTTCTTCACTATCAGGAATAGTCAAGACTGGTGCACTTGTCAGTCTGACCTTCAATTCCTGAAAAGCATTTTCACATTCGGTGTCCCACTGGAATCTGACTTTTTTCTTGGTCAACCGAGTCATCGGTGCAGCAATACTCGAGAAGTCTTTCACGAAACGCTGATAGTACCCTGCAAGTATGAGAAAACTGTGAATCTCCGCCACATTCTTCGGCCTTTCCCATTGTAGCACAGTCTCGATCTTAGAAGGATCGACAAAGATTCCTTGTCCTGAAATTACATACCCAAGGAACTTCACTTCTGTCAGCCAGAAGTCACATTTCTCCTTCTTAGCATACAACTGGTGTTCACGAAGAGTTTGAAGAACAATTCTCAAGTGCTGCTCATTTTCTTCCCAAGTCTTTGAGTAAACCAGTATGTCGTCAATGAAGAAAATTATGAACCGATCCAAATACGGCTAGAAAACACGGTTCATCAAGTCCATGAATGCCGCCGGGGCATTCGTCAGCCCAAAAGGCATTACAAGAAACTCGAAGTGCCCATACCGAGTTCTAAAAGTAGTCTTCGAAATGTCCTCCTCCTTAATTTTCAATTGGTGGTACCCTGATCTCAAGTCAATCTTAGAGTAAAATTGTGATCCACCCAACTGATCGAATAATTCATCGATTCTCCGCAGTGGGTATTTGTTCTTCACAGTTACCCTATTCAATTGACGGTAGTCAATGCATAACCGAAGAGATCCGTCGTGCTTTTTCACAAATAGCATCGGTGCACCCCAAGGTGAAGTACTATTCTGAATATATCCCTTCTCTGCTAGCTCTTCAAGCTACTTCTCCAGCTGCGCGAGAGGAGCTCGTAGAAACTAGTCTGAAAACCTACAATCTCAGTCCCAAATCGAAATATTTCAAAGGAAAACCACTATATCTGGGTTCTAGGTACTAAATCAAGTCCAAGGAACCCAAGATCTCCAATTTCTACTAAGGTTTTACTCAAAATCCGTAAAGATTCGTTTCGAACCAAAAATAAGGTTTTAAAATTTGAAAACTTGAGATTCAAGAGAGGTCCTTTTAGTAATCTTATCTCGAATCCTTCTCTTGACGTTGAAAACTTCCTTAAATCTTTAATTGGTTCGAATCCGGTTTGATTTGAGACCAAAACAAGGGAGAGAGAGTGAGTGTGAGAGAACGAGAGAGTGAGAGTGTGTGAGAGAGAGAAGCACGGGAAAGGAAAGAGAAAGGAAAGAAAGAAAAAAGGAAAAAGAAAAGGAAAGGAAAAAGAAAAAGAAAATGACATGTGTACAATATTTTAAAAGAGCAGTCCAGGAATACGCCCATACACACTTCTAGGTTAAAATAAAATTACTGAGAGTAATTTAAATACCTTGGAACTATTTAAATTACACGTCAGAAACATTTATTCATCAAAACTTAATTAATTAAATTAGATTAGGCACACTAATAATCTCAATTACCTTAATTAATCTCATTTAATTCTTCAGGGTGTTACAATTCCTCAGCTAGCATTTATAAAAAACAACGCTTTAGGATTCAATTCTCATTCTTAAAGCAAATCAATCCCAATTATACACTTCAATTTCCTATTAGTGTGCCTTAATCCAATTCCAAGTTTCATAAATAATTTTATGTTTCAAATCATCATTCTAAGGATTTTAATCTCAAAACATGGATTAAAATGCTAATCCATCTACTTTAGATTCCCAAATGAAACTAATTTGGGTTCTCTTTGAAAATCGAGGTCGAAACAGGGTTTTAATACAAAACAGGTTCCAACCACGTGTGCACTGGTCGATCGGTGACAAAGAGGTTGTTCTTCACCGGTCGGCCGGTGAAGAGGGAACTGGTCGACCGGTGCGTGCCAGACAACTCGACCGACATGGCCGATCCGAAGAAAACAAGGCCAAAACCTGCCAATCTGAGTTCCAATCTGAGATATTTATACTATGATAAATTACTTACACAAGCACAAGCACAAGCCTTATCACCACCGTAGTGGCCCAGTCTGGGTTTCGGGTTCTGCCCCCAAGGATACGATCTTCATACCCTATCTAGGCCATCACCACGCTTACCAATTCGTAAGATATCTTATCTTAAGAAAATATTCATTAAACCTTTAAAACAGTTCATTATGATTTCAATAGCTAAAATAAAGTTGTTGTGTTAAAATACTTTTCTTTACTAATCATATCCTTTCTTTAAAACATTTACAAGGTCAAAACTCTTTAAAACAAGCTGTCAAAGAAAAGGACAAGAAATCCTACCTCTTAAGCACCGAACCTGTGGCTAGTGTTGCGCTATCCTAGCCTCCGCTTCTTTAAAGCTGCTCAATCCGATTCCTTAGCTAGCATTTATAGAAATCAACACTTTAGGATTCAATTCTCATTCCTAAAGCAAATCAATCCTAATTATACACTTCGATTTCCTATTAGTGTGCCTTAATCCAATTCTAAGTTTCATAAATAATTTTATGTTTCAAATCATCATTCCAAGGATTTTAATCTCAAAACATGGATTAAAATCTTAATCCATCTACTTTAGATTCCTAAATGAAACTAATTCGGGTTCTCTTTGATAATCGAGGTCAAAATAGAGTTTTAATACAAAACAGGTTCCAACCACGTGTGCACCGGTCGACCAGTGACAGAGAGGTTGTTCTTCACCGGTCGGCCAGTAAAGAGGGAACTGGTCGACCGGACCGGTCGACCAGTGGGAGCCAGATAGCTCGACTGACATGGCCGATCCGAAGAAAACAAGGCCAAAACCTGCAAATCTGAGTTCCAATCTGAGATATTTCAAGGGAGAACTATCAAATCTAGGTTCCAATTACTAAATCAAGCCCAAAGAACCAATTTTCCCCGATTTTCACCGTGATTTACCCAAAATCCATCAAAATCCAATTTAAACTAAAAATAGGTTTTTCTAACGGAAAAATTTGAGATTCAAGAGAAGTTTTTCAGAAATCATTCCCCAAATCCTTCTCTTGACGTTGGAAACTGCTTGAAATTCTTCTTTGGTTCAAGATTTGGAAGAATTGGTGACAAATTGGACGAGAGAGTGAAAAAGTACGAGTGAAAAAGTACGAGAGAGTGAGAGAAACGACAGAGAGAGAGTGAAAGAGAGAAACGACAGAGAGAGTGAGAGAGCTGAGAGGGAGCACAGGAAAAGGAAGGAAGAAAAAGAAAGAAAAAGGGAAAAAAGAAATAAAGAAAATAAGGATAATTTCCAAAAGATATTTATAAAAGTAGACTAGAAAGTGTGTCTACATATACTTTTGAGGTGAAAATATAAATACTGAAAATATTTAAATCCCTTGGAAACATTTAAATTTACATATCAAAAACATTTAATGAACATAGTTAGTCAATTAAGCCAGATTAGGCACACTAATAAATCCCAATTACCTTAATTAATCATGTTTAATTACTCGAGGTGTTACAGCATCACAAAAAATTTCCTCCTTATGTTAAGATTTTTAATAGAAATAACACATCACACAAATAATGAGTGTCGTTAAACCATTTTTAGTACTCTATTAGCTCCTCGTTTAGTCACACAAAAGTGTAATTACACAATAGGAGTTGTCATTTTTTTTTTTTACTACATGAACTTTCTCTTAATTTAATTGACCTAAGGAACCTTGGAGGTTCATCAATAGCGGCCACCAGTAATAACAGAAGTAAGAATTTAAGAGGGAAAAAAATTACAAGAGTTGCTGAAATTCAAAGAAACAAAGCTAAAATTAAAAATTTAGTGAGCAATTTGTGACAAGGCCTATAGTTTGAGGAGAAAACGCGTAATTTGTCCTTTTTAGACTTAGACAAAAAAATAGATATGTCTAAAGATTGCATTAAATAAAAAAAACATATTAACTGTAAGAGAAAATAATTAAGTAGGAAAATATTCGTGAAGAGTTATTTCGATAGAGACAAATAAGGAAAATCAAAAGTATTTTAACAAAGCAAATTGAAAAATATTGATATTTTATAAGGAAAAATAAAAACAAAGTAAAAGAACACAAAGAAACAAAGGGGCTACAATAATTTTTAGTGTCAAGGATTAAAACTGCTAAAAAACTGCTCAAAAAGACAGGAAATAATATACTAAAATTAAAAATTCAAAGATTAAAATGCCACGACTCATTATTCAGAGACTAACAGTGCTAACCGTTAATTCTTTTGTAATGAAAAGACGAGGAAATTTACGAGCTTTTATTTTATTTTATTTTTTCCTTTTGTTTCATTTTTTTTTTTCTTTTGCTTTTTCATTTTGAATGCCCGAGTCTTTCTGCAAGTATGGACGGCTACGCCCCAACTTCCTAGAGGAGAAAAAGAACATAGATCCATCACTTGCATAAAACCTGAAAAAGCCATACATGTTAAGCCAATTGAACAACCATTGTCTATAAACTTCATGCCAAAAAGAAAGTGTACAACACATTGCTATCCACTACCCTGACAAAATTTGCATCTGGGTTTGAACAAAACGCCATTTAATTGAAATTATAGGTAGGAACTACGAAAACATTTTGTTAACCTTTAAGCCTCTTTTCCTTCTTCGTCCACATTATATTCATCGTCATCCTCCTCATCATCCTCCTCGTCACTCTCCCACTGTTCAAATAAACTGCGCTCAGAATACTTTTCCTGTGAATTTCTGTCGTGCTCTTCGTTAAGAAAATCCATTCCATACTTTGTGTCTCGGTGTTTAATCAGAAGCCAGCGCAGCAATCGGTCTTCCTTGTTCAGGTAAAGCAGCTCTTTGTTGATGTTGGGAGTGGCCATCATAGTCATCTGCATCAGTTGGCCCTACACCGAGTCCAAGTAAAAACAGGTTCGTCAAAAATATTTTTTCCAATCAAAGCGAGATGAGAATATTTTTACTTCTGCAGGATGAACCTTTTTTTTTTTTTTTTGGGCATCTATTAAAGACCAAATTTAAAGAGAAACAGAGGCCATACAAGACAAATAATGTTGTGACATCTCTTTATACAGAAAAACATACATACTGTATGTGTTAAACTTCACATATGCAAGTAAAAAGAGCTTGCATGTATGTTCCATTAGCTGTACTGACATCACGTCACATGGATGTATGATAAAATTGCCTTCAATATTATTTGGTTTAAGGCTTATGTTCAAAATTATAATCAGCATTTGGCACCCCACTCAATAGCATTATTATTAAGGATACAGAATTATATACATTTTAGCAGAGGTTTCCTCTGAGAACCGAAGCTTTTGCCATCACAAAATTGACCCTCAATCCCTAATAAGATCAGGAAAAAGTAGGCTTTTAAATTCCTTTTCCTGATCAACTCAGTATTTGATTCTATCCCTAACAACTTCACAAGCTTCCTCACACTCCTCACAAATTGTATGGTTCCTCTTCAACCATACCCGCCATAAAAGTGCTAATATTGCTAGCTTTCCTAGGTGTTTTCTCCTATTGCCTGACCCATAACAGGTAAATGAACAACAGACTTCTTTACAACTTCTAGCCCAACACCCAATTGACATGATAACGAGTACCATAACTTGTAAGTGAACAGACATTGGAGGAACAGGTGATCCATAGATTCGCCACTCCTCCTGCACAAAATATACCAACTAAGGGAGATTGAGAGAATCAGTTGCCTCCTCTGCATCAGATTGTGAGTATTCAATTTGTCAAGAAGTAAAAGCCAACAAAACACTTGAACCTTGGAAAGGATCCGATCCCAAATGAGATTATAAAAAATCAAAATTGGGAACAGAGTCATCTATCAAAAAAAAAAAAAAAATGAAGGATTTGACAGAAAACAGACCCAAGCTATCTAGTTCCCACACTCTTCTATCCTCGACCCCTTCCCTAAGTTGAAACCCCTCGGAAAAAGCAACCAACTCTATGTGCTTCCCTATGAGTCAAGTTATGCGACAGCTTGGGCTCCCAAGTGCAGCCCAATCCCAGATCTAAGGGCATATTTGACACAAATTGGCTGATTGGTTTATTGTGTATAGACCATATGAATAAACCTACAAATCATAATGCAAATACAATTCTCTACACCAATTATCTTCGCAAAATCTTACAATGTCTGCACTCCCCACCTTCCACTTTACTTGCTAAAATAATCTCCTGCAAATGACTGCACCACATTCCATGTACAGTGGTAGGGGACTTGCAGCCGATCCCGAATCCCAATTGTTCATCTCGCGGTTCAGGACATCTCTCTTTCAAGAAGTCAGTGGAGATTTGACTTCCCCCGGGGATAGGGTACTACGAAAGCAAGTTGATTGTGGATTATTACTAAATTGAGCCTACTTTTCGCACTATTACAGATACGAAAATAATGGGAAAATTTGGATTACATTGTCAACCGTTCCTATCGAAAATAGGATTGACCAAGGTACATTTGATACCCAAAAACTGCTCCGCAACAGTCAAACAAGTGGGGAATGGTTGGGGTGAACTAGAAAAGTTTGGGTAGAGCCAGATCTAAATGTTGGCTAGGTAAGCATCTTGTAGTAAGAGGAGTAAATATGAACCCTATAGACTATCCCCATGGGGGTGGTGAAGGGAGGGCCTATCTACAATGGAATCTCGTGTGAATGAGCAAGGACCCCTCAAATTGTATCTAATTAAATCTGGGTATTGCAAAGATTTCCTCATTTCCACCCTCAAGCATTTTTTTAATCTCGCGTATATAGAAAAAAAAAAAAGATTTCATTATTTGCTCATTCTTCATCAAATCACATGGATCAATATAGCAATGATGGAATTTATGTTCTGTTTACTGAATCACATGAAATTTTACCTAATCGGAATTTGCAACAAATACAAACAGAAAGGAATTGATGAATTCCACTTAGACTTAGGGAGTATTGTATAGAATATCAAAACAAAAGGTGATTCAATTTCCACCATTATTACGATAAGTGCAAGGTCCTAAAACGTCCATCAAAATGGAATTATTGGGTTGCTTAGACTGATAGGTGGGAGTGGGATTTAGAGAGTTTGGGCCTGTTTTCTTGTAAATCTTTTTTCAAGTTCTTGACAAATAACCAATCATTCCCTCCATTTCAGTTTTCTCATTTCATTTGGAAATCCTCGGTTCCTACTAAAGTTAAAGTGTTTAACTGGCTACTTGTGTTTAGTAAACTGAATACTCAGGACTTGATGAAAAGGAGGAAACCATATCTCTGTCTTTCTCCTAGCTGGTGTGTTCTTTGCAGGGAAGCTGGCGAGTCTCTAGATCATATCTTCCTTCATTGTCCCTTTTCCCTGAATATTTGGATCCGAGTGCTATGGGAATTTGGTTTTTCATGGGTAATACCAAAGAGGGTGGCGGATCTTATGGTGATTTATTAATTGAGAGAAACAGACTTTGCGGGAATCTTTGGAATGTTGTTGTATTAGCTGTCACTTGGTCATTGTGGCTAGAAAGGAACTACAGAATATTTGAAGACACTCAGGAGGATAGTAAAGTAGTGTGGGATAAATTATTGTACTGGGTAGCCTTATGGCTTTATCAAACTAAAGGCTTTTCTGGGTTTTCATTTGCAGATATGTTAAGGGGATGGGACTTGGTTTTTCAGTAATTAGGGCTGTTCAGTTTAACTTTTCTTTCTTGCTTTAGTCTATCATTTTTGTACTTCTGTTTTTGTTGGTGGACTCCTTGTCCCCTCTTTTCATTAATAAAGTTCTTTCATTTCTTACAAAAAAAAAAAGTGTCCATCAAAATAAGTCCCTTAATATATGGTTCACCAACATATTAAGGATAACATGCTAAAGATAAAGACCACCCAGAAGACCAAGCGAAGGTTTTCTGGCTTAATGAAAGCTAATTTAAGTAGATCCAGTGAGCATAGTTATTAAGAAAAAGTTATAGCAAAGGCAATAATTTTCTTTCTTTCTTTCTCTTTTTTTTTTTTTTTTTTTTTTTTTTTTTTTTTTTTTTTTTTTGGATAACTGTGGTGTCCAAGACTTTGCTTTGACTAATCCACAGGATCCACGCAAAGATGATAATTACTTCTAGAAAATGGCAGGGACAAAAAGAAACCAACATGGTAACTTCCCAAGACACCTAATATCTGATGATTGCTTCTTGCACAAACAAAAAGAGCTGCACATTAGAAACACTGATAAAAACTTAGCCCTCAAAGTCCATTTCGCAATGATGCAACATTAACATTGTTAGTCATTTAACAAAAACATTCTATACACTTCAGCTAATCCCAAATTGCAAATGAAAGCTTTCAAGATTTAGTAATGATGAGCAACCCTTTAGCAAGGAAGCCCTATTACTTGTCATTTCTTATGAAAAGAAAAGGCCCATTACTTCTGCAGAAGTTCACATTGAACACCTGATTATAATTTTTGTTTGTTTTTTTTTTCTTTTCCAAGTGAACCATGAAAAATGCAGATCATCTTCCCATATTGAGATTAAAATACAGTTTTTGTTAATTATTTTTAAATAAGCAACAAGAATAAACACTTATGCACAATTCTTCAAATCACAATTTCCATGTAATGATCTACAAGTAAAAACAGCAATTCAAAGACCAGACAAGTCTCGATCCAACAAACAAATGGCAAGAACAACGAAAAACAATGAGAGAATGTTTTGTCTTGATCTCTAATCTCTTACGCATCAAAAAATACAAGCAAATGCCAGAAACAAATGGACCAAATAGGAAGTTTAGATTATGGTAATTAAATGAAGAGTGTAAAACCTGAGTAAAGACAAATTTACCTTGAAATATCTTCCATCAAGCTTCTTAATTCCGTAACCCAAGTGAACAGTTCCAAATGCTTTCACCTCGGTGAGAACCCCGTTTCTTCTGTAAACATGTTTGCCCACTCTAGCGACCAAGTCAATGAGAGCCTCTTTCTTCACATGGGGTTTCAGCAGAAGCATACAATCATACAAAGGCATTTTCCTTTTTCCCTCTGCATTTCACATCAATTAAAAAAAAAAATGTTTCAACAGAAGCATACAAACATAGAATCAACAGAAGCATACAAGCATACAACCCCGTTTCTTCTGTAAACATGTTTGCCCACTCTAGCGACCAAGTCAATGAGAGCCTCTTTCTTTACATGGGGTTTCAACAGAAGCATACAATCATACAAAGGCATTTTCCATTTTCCCTCTGCATTTCACATCAATTTGAAAAAAAAATAATAATAATAATAATAATAATAATTCAACAGCAAATACCTGTATACATAAACTGAGAAGGTTGAGATTTTTAACTATTTTAGCATAAAGAGATTCAATGATGTAAAAAATTTCAAGGGTTTTATAGAATCATATAGAGATTCAAGGGTTTTATCACAATTCACAAAGTACATATTTTTCAATTCACATAGTTTTAAGAAGAAAAAAATCCGGAACAAAAGTGTTTTGTCTAATCGAGGCGAAGCATAACCTCAAAGGCGGATCGACACGTGAGCCTCGAATGAAGGGCTTTTTACACATCAGAGCAACTTTCTAGCTATATATAGTGCTGAAAAATGACGTTTTTATACTTGTTGAACACCAAAAAATGAGTTTTAATTAATTTTTACATACTGTTACAATTTTCACTGATGGAAAGAAAAATGTTTTTTCTTGTTCCTTTTTTTCTTCAAATGTCCCTTTTTAATAGTAATGTTGTTGTGTAATTTACACTAGTAATATTTGAAAATGACAGGAAATGTTCTCCATTAACTAAAGTACCATGTTATATATAAAAAAAAAGGCATATCTAACCCAATGTATATCTTGAAGCATTATACAGTGCAGAGTAAGTCAAACATGAATATAACAGTAATACAGCCAAACAAGCCACAATATGAAGACAAAATTACATAGCCCAAGATAAGACATAATATTATGAACATAAAAGTAGCACTCTAAAACTACATAGTGGAATGCAGTGGCCATATTGCTTGCAATTATAATATAAAAAATAATGAAAATCAAACAATTTACAACAGCATAATCATATCAATTTCCAACAAATATCAAGCCAATATCACAAATATGACTTCTAACAATATCCAAAAGTAGTAAAACAATAAAAAAAATACAAATAGCTAAATACACAAAATATTAAAAATAGAAAATTTCATCAATACCAACCAAAATTCACAATAGCAATTTTCATCTACAAAACAAATTCCAAAAGAAAAAAAATCAATCAAGTATCAACAAATTCCACAATAAAATGAGTTCCAAAAACAAATTTCTATTTCGTAAATTAAACTTCAAATTAAAACTCCAAACACAAAACTTCAGTAATCTATATAAACCTAGCTTCAATTACAAACAAAAATGGAAAACACAATTGAAGCAATTTTCATTCTTATAGTCAACAACCGCAAGCTCGGGCAAAACTTTAACAGAAATCTCATATTTGTCACTCTAATGTTTTCTATTTTCCCCAAATTTGCCAGTTTATTATCTCCATTGTTCCCACTCCTGAATGTCTCAATCTCATCTTCACAAGGCAACCCAGTTTGCAAATTATGAAAACCACACAACCCAAATAACCATAATTATCCAATGATCTAAGATTGCAATTCCAAAGCAACCGATTTTAGATTTGTAAAATCTATGAAATCCCATCAAAGAGGCAAAGGGTTATGAAAGATTATTACAGAAACGTTCACATCTGCTCGAAAACCATAAAATCTCAACGTCAAACAAACCTTATAAAAGTTACAAACAGAAAAACGAACCGTGGAGGAGCTTGGCTTGCAGATGGCTTGAAATTGGCTCGCAAAAATGGCCGGTGGAATCCGGGAGAAGGGGTGAGTCGACGGGGCTCGCACGAAGGAGGGTCGACGGCTGGGGGAGAGGGCCGGATTTCACTGATGATGATCTCTATCTAAGCTCAAGGGTTATTTTGTCAAAATTCTTTTAAACCAAGGGCTGAAGAGATGTTGGGTGCGTTTGAAACTCGTTTCAAAATGATTTTATTTTTTGTATGAAAAGAAAAATAAAAATGAAAACGTTTTCATTTTCATTTTAGAATCATTTCTGAAAATGCGTTTGGTAGTTTTATTCTAAAATTATTTTTAATTTAAAAAAAATTAAAATTGTGTTTAGTAATTTAATTTTTAAAAACATGTAATAATATTTAAAATAATAATATATTAAATAAATATATTAAAAAAACATTATATATGAAAACTAGAGAGGAAATGAGGAGTGGCAGTCGGACAAGAGTGGGGGGAGTAGCAGTCGGAGAAGAGTGAGAGTGGGGG